AAAACATATAAAATGTTTTACAGATGGAATTTAACACCAGTGAGATTAGCAAAAAAAGTTTTAAAAATACTTCAAACAGGTGTTGGAAATGCAAACAAAAGCCAGGTACTTATTACCATATCTGGTGGACTAAAAGATTTTGGTCAAAAATACACTTAATGGTTGGAGAAAGTGACTAAAAAACAAATAGATTTTAAGCCAGAATTATTTTTGTTAGGAATAATAGGAGCAAATTATGAGAAAGACTGTATATATTTAATTTTACATGTACTAGCCTAATCCTATAAAATTATATGTGTGTGTGTGTGTGTGTGTGGAGAGAGAGAGAGATAGAGAGAGAGAGATGGATATAGATAGATAGAGATGGATATGTATAGATATATGTTGTAAAATAAATAACTTACGATCACCAGGAGGATTCAAGTAAGAAAATACTTTAATAAAACCAAGCTTTCGTTGGGAGCTCCCAACAAAAGCTTGGTTTTATTAAAGTATTTTCTTACTTGAATCCTCCTGGTGATCGTAAGTTATTTATTTAACAATATGAATATATTGTTACGGACATTATCTATCATAGATATATGTATAGATATAGATATAAAATAATATAAAAGAATTCAAACTCATCTTTCAGTGGAAAAGGGCATTTTCCCAGGGTCCTCAGAGACCAGCCTTAAACACAGGTATTTGGGGGGAACCCCAAAGTCTGCATATTATATTAATTAGGACTGAACTAAAAAGGACAAATCAGGATTCATGCTGAATTACAAGAAAATGTCAGCACAGTGCTAAATTCCATCCTGGGAGTCCCAAAGGTGCTTTTTCAAGACGCAACTGGACTTCCTTGTTTTTCTTTGAAGACGTTTTGCTTCTCATCCAAGAAGCTTCTTCAGCTCTGACCGGATGGTGGGGAATGGAAGAATCTCCACAGACTTCCATCCAGGGAATTTTTAGGAAGAGAATAAAAAACAAAACCTCCAACATAGAAACATCCTGATATAAATCTGTCACTTGGAATACGGTGTACACACGCCTGATCAAATTGCACCTCAAGAGCCGTGTTTAGAGTTGGGAAAGATGCAGAAGGGCAGCCAAAACAATGAAGGAGGGTAGCAGCTCCCATCCTGGGAAAGATTGCGGTAGAAATTGGCTTTTAGCTCAAAGAAAAAGCAGGTGAGGGGTAGTCTGCAAGAGAGGCATCTTGACCAGGTGTGGTACAAGAAGCCCTTTTCTCCTTATTTCAGCATTAATACCTTTTACTTAGCTTGACTATTCAGGAGTCTTTACTGAAAGCAAAAATACGTAATTAATTTTCTTATCGCTTTAATGGAATTTCATTGTTGTTTGCTACTATTTTGATAGTTTTAAGATGTTGGTTGTTTGGGGTGATTTTAATTTTGGCTGCCATGTTTACTCTGCTATTGTTAGGATAGTATATTAGTCATTTACCGGTATTTATGTATTACATTTCAATGGCACCTATCTCTCTTCTTTGTCAACTTTGTTAGTTTTAATGTTAAGATTCATGATCTTCGCCCCTTGGATAGCTTCATTGTCAATTCTAAGGCTTGTTGTTCTAGTCATTAGTTTGGTCTTCTTTAAAATTAACAGAAAAAGTCACTCTGTTAAAGTTGGTAAAATTATCTTAAATTGGAATTGGAATTGAAGATGGGGGCAAACAAAAGATTTGTAGAGTGTAGATGCATGTGCGCAGACTGGCCGTGGGGAGAACAGCCACCGAGGCCTTGATCAATTGTTCCATATAAGGGAAGATTCTACCCCCACCCTATTTGTGCTTTGCTCCCTTCCTTGCCAGTCTGCGGCATATTTCTTGACTGCCTGTGCTTTTCAATAGATGGTTGATCCTGAAAGGCAAAAGCTCTTCGCCCCTTGGATAGCTTCATTGTCAATTCTAAGGCTTGTTGTTCTAGTCATTAGTTTGGTCTTCTTTAAAATTAACAGAAAAAGTCACTCTGTTAAAAGTTGGTAAAATTATCTTAAATTGGAATTGGAATTGAAGATGGGGGCAAACAAAAGATTTGTAGAGTGTAGATGCATGTGCGGTGAAATCCCCGGAAGCCCCAGTGGAAGCAGGATGATTGCAGAGGGTTGTGTTGATAAATCTTCCTCCAGAAAATAATTTTGCTCACAAACGTATCCTTTCCATCGCCCAAGGCAGGAGACACCACTGCAGTGCTTAAAACTGAGTTGTTCATAGATAGTTTGAGGTATTTGCTTATTTCAGTCCCAGCTGTTTTAAAGCAATGGGCGAATATCTGAGTTAGACCAATCCAAGTGGAGAAGTAATTGGAGTAGCTTTCAGGACTGACAGCTCAGTGGAGCCTCCTTGCGCTTTGCTCTGGATTTCCAGTGCTAGCAGCAAAGGGCTGCCGAGGGCTGCTGCTTTCCTGCTGTGCGTGCGGCTGACTCTGAAGGTGCTCAGCCTCCATATTAGCCCGCAGTGTGTGCCCTTCGGTACCAGCTTCAGATGGCTGCTGCTCCCTCCCTTCTTTTGTGGGCCTCCCAGAGACCCCTGATGCCTGGTTCTGGTCCCATTTGCTATTAATTATTGCACAGAAACATAATTCATGGGGAAAGAGAAGTCTGCTCTAGCAGCTACTATGCGAGCAGCTGCAGGTACTCGGAAGGTCCGCAATCAGCAGCTCTGCACGTCTAAGGGCCAGGCGCTGGGGCTGCTACCTTCGTGTGGGGGGGATTTAGCTGGCCTTGGTCGGAAAAGCTGAGTCGGGCTTCCAATCTCATCCAGCAACAGGCACCTCCAGGTTGTCCAGCCCAAGCCAGAGAGCAAATGCTCAATTCAGAAGAGCCTCCTCGCGCTGTTGAGGGATACAGAAATGGAGCCATCCCTGGTGCCTCTCCTCAGCATCCCCTAAGGCCTCCCTCTGCTCTTCCTTACCTTTCAGACCAACATCCCTTTCCTGCAGAACGTGCTCAGTAATAATCAGTTCCTCCATGGCACTGTGGACACCCAGTTTATTGATGAAAACCCAGACCTTTTCCATCTGCGGCCTGGCCAGAACAGAGCTCAGAAGCTGCTCCACTACCTGGGTAGGTTTAGAATCCTGCCCTTGAACAGGGCCCTGGGGACTGTGTTCTCTCTCCCCCCCCCCCATGCTCAAGAAAGGAACCCAAATTTGGGCCTCCATGACCAATGGCTGCCTCTTTTCTGCCTGGACACATCCAGCAGAAGGGGACTCACCATCACTACTATTAAGAATTTCCCCCCCCTCCATTTAACCAGAATCTGCTTTCCTGTCCCTTAAACCCTTGTTCCACGCCCTCTCCCTGGAGTGGCAGAGATCCTAGCTCGGCTTGCTTCTGTGCTCCCTCCCTTCGGGTCTTGATGGGTTCACACGTTGGGTCTTGACTGGGCAGGGAGGGAGAAAGGAATCCAAATGAATATTAATCTTGGGGTTACTTTTTAGAAACGGAGGTCCAGAACCAAGTGGCCAGAAGGATCTGCAGGCAGTCCCCTCCACTGACTTCTCCTCCTTTTCCTTTCCAGGACACGTCATGGTAAATGGCCCCACCACGCCCATCCCTGTGAAAGCCCGGCCTTCGCCCATTGACCCGGTGGTCCCTGCGGTTCCCTTAGGTGAGTTGCTCCCAGGAGCCGCCTTGATTTCCAGAAGAACCAGGGCAGCTGTCAAGACTGATTGGCATTTTCACCTATGTTCTGCTTCACTTGCAGCTTAACAAAGAAAAAGGGGGAGGGGGGATAGAAGGCAAGGGTGGGGGCAATTGCCTCTGAGCACCCGTCTGTTCCAGTGAGAGAGTGCCCAACCCAAGGACACATTGAGCGGGAGGCTAGTGTGGCTCGCTGGTTTCTCATAACAAAACGAACAGAAGTGATTGGTGGGCGTAATGGACTTCGGGTGGGCCGCAGAGGAAGGGGGGAATTAACTATGCTACCTGGTTTTGCTTCGTCTGTGCCAATATGGTTTATTCAGTGAAGTTTATACTCTTGGTAAAATAATGTCCCAGGACAGTGATGGCGAACCTTTTAGAGACCGAGTGCCCAAACTGCAACCCAAAACCCACTTATGCATCGTCAGGTGCCAGGTGGGTGTGGCCCATTGGGTGGGCGTGGCCCATTGGGTGGGCGTGGCCCATTGGGTGGGCGTGGCTGCAGTGGTAACGGCAGACTGGGTGGGACTAAAAAGTTCAATCAATCAATTCCAACTTTGCAAGATCTTTTTTTTCCCGCAAGAAGTTGAAATTGACTGATTGAATCTTTTTTTTTTTTGCACACGGAGGCGGAGGCCTAAAGCGAAAAGGTTTTATAAAACCCAGCTGAAGGCCTAGGACTGGGGCGACGGCGCGCGTGCCCACAAAGAGGGCTCTGAGTGCCGCCTCTGGCACCCGTGCCATAGGTTCGCCACTACTGTCCCAGGAGTTTCTTTTTCTGGATCTGCCAACTGGACAGCTCTGGGTTTAAGCCCTCCCAGCAGCCCTCTGGCTGCAGCAAAGGAAAATGCTCGGCTGGACTTTCCTCTCTGCTGGCGGCCATGGCTGACTAACGCTGGGCTTCAGGAAGCCTCCTGCTGCTGCTGCTGCCCTGAGTTGCAGAAGCATTTCAGGCCAAGGGGACCATCTACAATGGGTGGTTAATTACTTGCTGACTTGGTGGGACTGATAAACTACCCAAGTCTGGGGCAACTCTCTGCAGCCTCCATTCCAATGTACAGGAATAGGGTTAAAAACAGAATTCGCACACAGCAGCACGCAGTCCCAACCAGACGCAATTATCTTTTGATTTATTTGATTTGCCTAAGTGGCTCTGGAAAGCTCCCATCTTTGAGAAAACAGCAACCAAATGGAAGCAAGTTAAAACAGAGATACAAGCATATACAATCCATCAATAAAACCTCATGGAAATGACGTAATAGGCATCCATTCTCCAAGATTCCAAGCAAAAACTATGTCATTCTCCTGGAGAAGCCTTAATGGCCTTTGGGGAAACAGAGACTCAGCATCATCAATATAAGCCTGTTGAGGGAATGGAAGGAAAGGTAGGAAAGAGAATTAGCTCGAGTGACCTAGTGAAAAAGCAGCTTGGCATGATTCCGACAGACGAGACCAGTAAAAACAGAACTCCAAGGCAAAAGGTTTCCTTAAAGAACATATTTATTTGGCTACATCAGTGATGGCGAACCTTTTAGAGACCGAGGGCCCAAAAACTGGCCCCGCCCCTGCTCCACTACCACCACCCCACTCTGCCCCCACTCTGCCCCCCCATCCTCCGCCCCGCCTGCCCACAGGACCACTCACCGCCTCCAGGGCCTGCCGCAGATCGCCCAGGCAGCGCTATGGCGGCCACACCCTCTGCCCGCGCCCTGCAGCATCAACTGCATGATGGGGTGTGAGGGCAGAGTCTTGTCTATGGTGCCTGGCTGCCATGTCCTTGGCTTTGCTGCTCCGTGTGGGCCACGCTCGAGGGCAGCTCTCCTTCAGGGGGGCTGCTGGAGAGGAGGGGGTCACGGGGAGAGGCAAGGCTGGGGTAACAGCACGTATGCCCACAGAGAGGGCTCCGAGTGCCGCCTCTGGCACCCGTGCCATAGGTTCGCCACCACTGGGCTACATGATCAAAAGTGAAACCAAGACTGAAGTTCCCTCCCAAAGGTTACAAAGTTACAAAGTAATATGTCATAATCACATTCTCCAATAAACTACTTTGGTGGGCTTCCTAACGAAAGTTTCAGCCAGCCAAAACTCAGGCAGCAATGACCTTGGTTCCCACAGAACAATTTATTGTTTTGACTAAGCTAAAAAAATACTCATCCCCCCTTCCAACTCTGTGGCAACTGAAAACGAAGTGGAAATGGCTTCAACCAAATTCGTTTGCAATGTTGACACAACTCCCTCCCTCCCTCCCTCCCAACCACCCCATCGCACACAAAAGAACCTGTGTCCAGACCCTCTTCAGAAGGGCCAGGACACACTGCAGCACCACAGCACTAAGAAAAGCAGAAGAGAAATGGCTGCTTGACATCTTTCTGCGTAATGGCTGTCCCAAAATCCAAACCACCACACACACACACAGCTAACTGCCACACAAAAACGAACCCTACCATACACAAAAGCGGTGTCAGAAATGACAGCCAGAATTCTCCAACCCCAAGAATAGCGATAGCACACAAACCCACAGCCACACTCTGCCAGGAATTATCTAGAACCAAAGACAAGACACAGAAGGATGAAAGAAGCAATGCCATCTACAAAATCAACTGTAACTATTCTATGTGGGACAAACATGTCAGTTAAAAACTAGGATCCATGAACACCAGCTGGCAGTCAAACACCACGATCCCAAATCCCCAATCACTATCCACGTTGACACCAAACAACACCAGTTTAATTGGAGCAACACTAAAATCATTGGCCACGCTCCCACCCGGCACACCCAGGAGTTCCCCGAAGCCTAGCCCTCCACGAGCAGTTCCATCAACAGACACATCGACCCACAACCAGCCTATGAACCCCTTAGAATCCAAATCAACCGCACAGCCGTCCGGAGGCAGCACCGGGGGCACCGGCCCTGAAGCCCCTCCCCCCAGCAGTTCGCCTTCCAGTGACCCTGACCTGATATAATCTCCCCATCACAAGACCCGTTACCAGCCTCTGACCCACTGATAGTTCACACGCTCCAAGGGCTCTGACTTGAAGCACCTCCTCACCACAAGCCTCTCTCTGATGACCCACACCTGGCCCATCACAATACCCTCACTTGACACTCCCACACCTGAAGCCCTTATCAAAAGTAGAACACTGACACAGACACCCACTAAACTCCGCTGATGTTATCTAGCCTGGTCACAAAACGTTCGCTTGGAGAACGAACCTTCACCCTCATAAACAATTTTAGTAAGTTATCACTTTCTGTTAAAATATAATAAATAATATCTTCTCATATTTTGTCTCTTATCATAAATAAATCTAAAGAGCCTTGTTGTTCAGTCCTGCTCAGCAAAAGTCCATTAAAAGTTACTGGAGATAACAACATCTCTATTTTAGCTTTGCTTGAATAAACCTAATTTATATTCCTTTCCAGGGATGGTATAAGGCAGTGGTTCTCAACCTGTGGGTCGGGACCCCATTTGGGGTCGATCGACCATTTCACAGGGGTCGCCAAGCAAGGCTGTCCGCCATTTTTTTTGTCCGCCATTTTTTCCCCCTTTTCCGGCGGGTGCCTTACCTCCCTTGGGCTGGGCCAGCTGGTGGTCGGCCTGCTCCGTCTCTGCCGCTTGCCAGCTACGCCTCGGCCGGCGCAGGGGGCAGAACCACGCATGTGCGGCGCTCCCGGGCAGGGAAAGTCCTCGACTTACGACCGGTTGGGTAGTCCTCGACTTACGACCAGTTTAGTCCTTGACTTACGACCGGTTGGGGTTGCGGCATTAAAAAGGTTGAGAACCACTGGTATAGGGTTTCCTGCCTTGAGCAGGGGGGTGGGCTAAAAGACCTCTGAGGTCCCTTCCAGCCCTAGATTCTATGTTCTACTTTTAACAATCTTGGTTTTTAATACCTTGAAATGCTGTCCTAGAACTTGGTTTCTTTCCATTTATTTTCTTCGTCCTGTCTCACAAAAGTCCTCAAAACACCAATAAGACTCTTTTGCACAACCACTGTGGGCAACCACAGTAAAAGTCATTTTACAACCTGAGATCTCCACAGTCCCATTAACCAAGGAGGATCTAGTTCTGTGTTTCTTTCTCGAGTCAGCTGCTTCTCAGCCCCAGCAGATCCCCATCCTCTCCTGCACCCCCCTGGCAGAGGCCCTGGCAAGAGACGGAGGACCAGGCCAAGGAGCCCCAGCACGGGTGTTGGCCAGGCATCCTCTGCAAGAATCCCCAGGCAGGACAGATGGGAAGCTATCAGCCAAGATGCTGGGTGGCTCAGGCCTCTGCTGGGTCTTCCCACCCTAAGGGGCCTCTCTCTCCGGTAAATCCCGGTTAAGGGCGTCCGTCCTTCAGCAACAGTAGGGAAAGGGAAAGGCCTGTCACCTTCATGGTGAAATCACTGCTTCTACCTGGTTGAGAGAGAATTCCCCTCCCCCTGCAGGGATAGCAAAAGTTAGTGTTGAGCAGAAATGTCCTCACAGGGCTCCCCCTCTTCTGCCCCCCCCCCAGTCTCCCCAAAAGGCCTTTGGTCCCACCTTCCAAGGCAGCGGAAGAGTCCTTGGCCCACAGTGGACAGAAAGGTTTGTAATGACAGGCTTGAAAAGGACACCTGAAAAAAGAGAGAGAATGCTTTCCTGTCTTATCTCCAGGACTGGCTTTTTCCTGCAAAATATGCCACACAAGCAGATGTTTGTACCTGTTCAATATTTCATAGCTAAATGGAGCCCCCCAAAATGAGGGGCACAGGGGACAGAGTTATAATACAGCTACATAATTTGCAGATCAGCAAGGTTCATTTTAATTATATTTGATTCCAGATTTGCATCACAATATTTCTTCGTTAGTGGCTATTCCCCAACCTAAGACAGGTATTAAGAAAATGAAGTAAGGAGGTGAAAATCTTATTAACAGCCTCCAAGATGATGTTCAATTCTCTGGTAGTTTTTATAAGGAGATCTGGGAAGAGCCAGCAGGAAAT